GATTAACTAATATGCTACGGGAATTCAGGGGAGAGATTGATTCATTCTAATTCTGGTGGAGGACAAGAAATCACAGAATATTATTGCATTTTGCTTTTATGTGAGCCTTCAAGGATAGGCAGATTTTGGAGCTATTGTTGTGTTTATATAATACATATTCATGGGAAAATTATAAAATGTAGATCAGCAAAAAGAAACATAGTTCCGTTAAAAAAAAAAAAAAAAAAGAATCCTACCACTTAGGGATAAAACATTCCACTGTTAACATTTATTATTTTTTTTCCGCTATGCAGAGACATCCAAATGTATAATAAACATGCAATTTTCTGAGTTCCTATAATATGTCATGAGCATTTTTACATCTTCCCGGTATTTATTTTCAAGTGATAGTATCCCTTTATATGTTTAGTTCTTAACTTTCTGACCTATTTTGTGTGCATTTTTTTATTTCCAGTTGTTACTATGGACAATTTAATGTAAGTTAAAACATCTTTGGGGGCCACCAGGTGGCATGGAGATTAAGGGTGCTGGACTCCCACATGGCCAACCACAGTTCAAGTCCCAGACCTGGCGACCTGCTTTCTTATTTTCCCTTTCTCTCTCTCCCTCTGATCAAATTAAAATAAGTAAATAAATAAAGTTAAATAATTCTTTAAAAAAATATTTGAATGAGGCCAGCAGGTTGCATGGTGGTTAAGGGCGCTAGACTCCCATGTGGCCCACCATGGGTCAAGTCCCAGTCCTGGTAGCTTGCTTTCTCACTTTCCCTCTCTTTCTCTCATTCTGTCCCTCTCTGGTCAAATTTAAATAAATAAATAAAGTTGAATAAAATAATTATCTTAAAAAAATCTTTGAACAACATATATCTTTGAATATTATATTTTTGCAGATTACATTTTGAGTATTCAGATTCTTCCTTTTTTTAAAGAGGTTTTTTTGCCTTAGGGCACATGCACTTGCCAGAGAGAGACAGAGATAGCAAGATGGAAAGTGAGAAATCACCCCCCACCCAGGGGCAGACCACACCACAATCCCTTCTCCTCCATTCTCCTACAGGGATCTTGGGCATGCACACGTGTACCAGGTGTGATTTTCAAGCCATTGGGTCTGGGACTTGAACCACAGTTGACCGACTGGGAGTCCAGCAATGTAACCACTACACCAGCTGCTGGTCTCCAAATTATTTCTTTAGAAGGAATTCCTAGAAGTGAATTGTCAAGGGGGGACATACATTGATATTCTCTTTCCTCTGTAACCTATTAACTTGTTCTGAGTATGTAACCCTCTTGACTCGACTCTTCCAAATCCTGCACCATATCCATCCCCCACCCTCTTCTTTACTCAGAGTAACTCAATAGTTGTTTATATTCTCTATCTCCAATTCTTCCTCTTTCTCTCTCTTAAATAATTCTAATTGGGCTTTCCCTCCTCTCATCAAAACTGCTCTTGTCAAAATAACCAGTGATCATACACCCTACACACACATTTTTGCCAAAGTCAATGATAAGCCTCATTTATGACCCCACTTGACCACATGTTAACTTTTGAGATGGACAATCATTTCTTCCTCCTAGAAATATGTTCTTTACTTGGACTCAGGACACCATACACTCTTGGTTTCCCTTCTAAATCACTGGCCACTCACTCTCTCTTATCCTCTTGACACTCAGTCCCTCAATAACCCCATGAAGTCTCCTAGCTTTAAATACCATTTCCTTGTCAATGAATTCCAACTATTATCTTTAGTCTAATCCCCTTTCTTAAATTCAAATATCCAGACACATACCCATTAGAAACTTACCATGTCCAGACTCAACTCCTGATTGTTACTCCTCTCCTCTTGCTTTACAAACTAAAGTAAGGGCCAGCAGGTGGCATGGTAGTTGAGGCACTGGACTCCCAGATGGCCAACATGGGTTTGAGGGTTCGAGTCTTAGACCTGGCAACTTGCTTTCTCATCCTCCTCCCCCAAATCTCTCTAGTGAACTCATGTGCCCTATAGCAAAATTTTTTAAAAGAATGGTAATAATAATAAATCAAATTAAATAAATAATTCTTTAAAAAAAATTTTTAAAAACCATCCATGGTCTTTCCTTTCTCTGTAAAGGACAATAGACTCCCTTCCAACTGGCCAACTTAAAATCTTAGAATCCTTCTGGATCCTTATCTTCTACCACCTCCAGTTCGTCTTGGTTGTATCCCTAAACTATGTCTAGAATCCAGAATCTCACCACATCCACTGCTCATACTCCAGTCCATTATTTTTTCCCTGAATTACTAAAGAGTCCATCACTAGTCTCCCTGGGTTGACTGTGGTTCAAGTCCCAGACCTAGTGGCTTGCTTTCTCACTTTCTCTGATCAAGTTGAAATAATAATAATAATAGTAATAAATGAAGTTGAATAAAAATATTCTTTTAAAAAACACAAGTCAAATCTTGTCACTCTTCTGCTCAAAACTATGGATTGCACCTCCATTTCACTTGAAAGTCAAAATTCTCACAGTGCTCTAGGAATTCTGAACTCTATGCATCTTCCACAGCCCACACAACCTCTTGGGTCTCATCTCCTAGCTCATGCTCCTGCCACCCTGACCCATTGGCCATTCAGTGACATCAGGCATGAGCCTGCCTCAGGACCTTTGTACTGGCTGTTCCCTGGGTCTGTAAGGCTCTTCCATCTGCTACCTTCATGGCTCAGCCTTAGCCTCCTTTGGATCTTTGCTCAGATATCATTTTGCCTTGTAAAGCCCTAACTGACTTCCACTTTTAAAGGTACCTCCTCCCTTCAGCATTTATTCTAAACCTTCTCTGCTTTTTCTCCATATCTTTTACCATCGTCTAATATGTATTTATTTGCATACTTTGTTTGATTCTCTTAATCCTAAAAAAGTGTATATATGAAAGCAAGAATTGGCCCACTCTCTGTGGCACAGTTGGGAGCTTCCTAGACGACGATAGTAGAAGACACAAGGCCAACTGTGAGTTCAGATCCCCTACCTAATTGTCTAGAAACAAGCCAGACATGAGTATGTGTGGGCAAAATCCTGAGGAGCTAGAGGCCTTAGGGGAGATCACAACGTGACCAGACCTGGTGTCCCCCTGACCCCACATGCATGCACATGTGCTCTCTACCATGAATTTAAAACAAAATAAAACAACACAATAATTTTTGTCTTATTTAGTTGTTTCCAGAAGAGGGTCAATGTTACAGATAAAACAAATCTTTTAAAAAAATGTATTATTATTTTTAAATTTGCTATAGGGCACACGTACGAAGGAGATGAAGGAAAGAGCAAGCCACCAGGTCCGGGACTCAAACCGCAGCTGGCCACATGGGAGTCTAGTACCGTAACCACCATGCAACCTGCTGGCCCTAAGATATATATTTAATGCTTTTAATCCAGACTTCTAATTTGCTTCTCAAGAAATGGAGGTATTTAAATAAATAGATAAGGTGGAGAGGGATGGCTCAAATTGAGGCCAAAGTGTTGCCAAAGTCCCAGGCATGCAAGAAAGCAAGATAGTACACTGTTGTCCCTTCCTCCCATAAGCACATGTAAAAAAAAAAGAAAAAAAACCCTAAATAATAATAATAATAATAATCACAGATCTTCTGAAGAAAACTACACGTATCTACAAAGCTTAAAGAGTCCACCAGCCCCAGAAACCCACCTATAGGCCACCATGGGCTGGTAGTTGAGAATCCAAGAAAAAAGAAAAGGAATCCAGTTTAAGAATATTATTTCAGGGACCAGTAGTTAGTGTAGTGGCTATGTCGCTGGACTCCCACATAGTTGACCACAGTTCGAGTCCCGGACACAGTGACTTAAACTCATGCCGGGCGCGTGTGCGTGCGTGCCCAGGATCCCAAGAGGAGAATGGAGGAGAAGGGATTACAGTGAGGCCATCCCCCCTGAGGGTGATTTCTTGCTTTCTGTCTCTCTGTCTCTCTCTGTCTTTCTGGCAAGCACATGTACCCTATAACAAGAACCTCTCAAAAAGAAAGAAAGAAAGGAAGAAAGGAAGGAAGGAAGGAAGGAAGGAAGGAAGGAAGGAAGGAAGGAAGGAAGGAAGGAAGGAAGGAAAAAAGAAAGAAAATTATTTCAGCCTCATAACAATCTCTTGGACAAAAACTGTGCTTAGTTAAGGATGTGGCAAGTTGTAACAGTGAGTGCTAACATTTTGAGTAAAACTTAGAACTTGAAGTTTACATCACTGAAAGAAAAAGAATTCAGCCACCATGTCTTCAAGTGTTAAATAACAAATACGTGGAATCAAGAATTCCAAAGTTAACTCAGTGAACCTTCGAATTGAAGGTTCTTATTTTAAGCTTGATATCAATACTTTCATAAAGTTCACAGGATAATCTGAAGAAAGGCTACTTATGTTCTGGTAAATTTTTTTTTTTAATCGAAATCAGCAAACACTCCACCCAAACAATCTAAGTTATTGTCTGTCTGGCTTCTGTACAATTTTATCATTAGGTATCTTTCATCTAAATAATTCAGTAAATTATTATTAATGAGTTTTTGTTTCACCACCAAATCTCTCTTCTCTCTATACCACAGACTCTAGAAATAATTAGAGAGAATTCAGCCTGGGTAGTTTTTCTTGATCAGCTATCTCTCTGGAGAGGGTGTGGGAAAGGAGGGGAGAAAGTCTTATTTGTGTCTAAATGTAAACAGCTCTTTATACACAGTGGGCATTCTTGGCACTGCAATAATGCTAATGCAGAAACAAACTTTATCCATATCTGATATCTGATGCCAGTCCTTATGGTGAGAGGACCACACGTACAATCCCCAGGCACTGCATCTAATCATAGTCCTGAGAGATCTCTCCGGTCGGTTTCTTTTCCCCATTGCCACTCATCAGAGGACGGGTTTACCAACAGCCACCAGCCAAGCACATCCAAACTGGATCTGAGCCAAGAGCAAGCAGCCTGGTGGAGATCTGGGCAGCGAGGTGGAAGGGTGTTCCGGCCATCAGCTGGATGAAACATGCGGAGACTGCTGGGCAGCAGCTGGAGGAAGTTTGGACACGCCGGCAGGGGGTCGTATGAGTGGTTAACCAGTGAACCAAGCCTGCCTCTCCTGGAGACCCAGCTGCAGGTCTGTACCTATGGCTTATGCCTTTTCTTTACCGAAGTATCACTTTCAAAACTAAGAGCACCTACATTTTCAGACTCTTAAAATGTAGCAGCATCACTATGCATGCGGATATGTCAACAATACAAATTCACTGATTGTCATGGTTTAAAGGGAATAAGTTGAAGATGTAAAAAAATTTTTCTTTTTAGACAATGAGATACTCAAGTACAACTTGGCACAAGAATATTTTAATACTACTTGATATGCCAACTACATCAAAGAACAAGCTAGGTGAAAACAAGTTTTTACACCTTGGCATTACAACGTTGTTCTTTGCTCAGTAAGCAATGTCTGTATATACAGTAAGAGACTCCCCTTGGTCTCAGCTGTGTAATGACCACTCTTTCTAAGAGTTAACAGAAACCAAGCATCTTACTTCAGGAAGGACGGGAAGGGGTTAAGGAGGTTTTGTCTCTAAGAAATGGAGCCGCTGCTTTGCTTTGTCTGACAAATCACCCAAGGAGTTGCTACCATCTGAAGGCACATTAAGGAAAATATTAGTAGAAACATAAAAACAAAGAATTTCTTTTGTAATTGGGGAGAAGTGAGTGGCTTCACTGATCACCTGAGAAAGGAAATACCTATTTTCTTGTGTTCTGGAAAATTAACTGAGACTAGTACTTAAGTTCCAAAACCATCTTTTACAGAAAAAAATACACAGATAGATGGATACTGATATGTCCTTCAGGAATTACACTTTTCATTGGCTATTTCTTGAAAGTATTCCCTAGACAACAACAACAAAAAAACTTTGAATTGGTACATACATTAGAAAAGTATTAAAAGTTAAAAATTTTTGAGGCTAGTGAACAAATTAGAACATTTGACTTCAAAAATTAGCCTTCCTGTACTAAAAAAATTTTAAACAATATACCATGAATACTTAAAGCAGCAAATTAAGGATAAAATAGCAAATTCATTCTATAGTTCTCTGCATCTCCTAACTAGAAAAAATAAAAGAATTCTTTATCTTAAGGAAGTCCTGGTCTATTGTCCTCTAATATTTGATACTGGATGAATTTAACTCAACTAAGGGAAGCACTAATTACAGCAAGTACTGTAGTATTTGTATTTTCCCAACTTTTTGCAACTAATATTAATAATACCGTGAGCAGTGCAATTGATATAAGAGGGTCCATTACATAAAACCTTTTAAATAGTATACTAAGTGCCTTTATATTCTATGCATATTGGACTTACAGGGGAATAGAGAATTTAAAATGTACTTGCTCCCACTGACTGGAAACTATGATCACCTACGTCACTTGTCTGAGAAGGAAGGAAAAGAGAGATTATGAAAAATGTCAGTCTTTATCAGGGTAGAATAGTGATTGTTTTTTTTGGGTTTTTTTTGGTTTTTTTTTTTGAGAGGTTTTTCACTATAGGGCGCGTGCGCTCGCCAGCCAGACAGAAACAGAGAGACAGAAAGCGAGAAATCACCCCCAGAGGGGATGGCCATGCCACAATCCCTTCTCCTCCATTCTCCTCTTGGGATCTTGGGCATGCACGCACACGCGCCCGGCGTGGGTTTTAAGCCACCGGGTCCGGGACGCGAACCGCGGTCGACTATGTGGGAGTCCAGCGACATAGCCATTACGCTAACTGCTGGTTCCCGAGAATAGTGATTGTTTTAAGTACTGAAAGAGATCATAATTTTAACATTTTAAATTATTCAACTAGATAGAAAAATAAATTATAGCAGAGAGAAAGTGAGAAATCAAGCTGCCAGGTCTGGAACTTGAACTATGGTCGGCCATGTGAGAATACAACACCTTAACCACCATGCTACCTGCTAGCCCCGTAGCTGATTGTTTTTAATCCCAGACTAATTTTTTAATAATTACAGCAATTTATTTATGGGCTTAACTTTTTTTTCCCTTTTTCTAAGAGATTTTTGCTACAGGGTGCATGTTCTCCGGAGAGACAGAGACAGAGAGGTAGAAAGCAGAAATCAGCCCCAAGGGGGCATGGCCATACTGTAATCCCTTCTCCTCTCAGGATTTTGGGCACACACACACACGTGCCTGGCATGAGTTTTAAGCCGCCAGGCCCAGGACTCGAATGGGGTCGACTACGTGGTAGCCCAGTGATGTATTCATTATATCATCTGCTGGTCCCAAGGGCTCATCTATTTTCATAGCTCTTATAACCAAAGTCCCTGATCACATCATAACAGGTTTTAAGTTAATAATTCTGATATTAAACTGGATTTAAACTAGATTATGTTAGAATAAAAAACAAAGGGACTTCATAGTTTAGAAAATTTTAATAATCAAATACATACTTCTTTTTTTTATTATTATTATTATTTTTAGGTTTTTGTTATAGGACATGTGTGCTCACCAAAAAGAGACAGAGAGAGGGAAAGTAAGAAATCCCCCCTCAGTCGGGGGTTGGGGGAATTGGTCCTACCACAGTCTCTTCTCTATTCTAAAGGGATTTTGGACACACATGCACACTGTGGGTGTTTTAAGTCTATGGGTTCAAGATTCGAACCATGTAGTCGGCCATCTGGGACCCAAAGTTTTAACCACCATACCACCTGCTGGCCCTTGTTTGCTTATTTTAAACAGTTATAAGCTTTGAACATGCTATCTTGAGGCCAGTAGGTAGCATTGTGGTTGAGGTGCTGGACTCCCACTTGACCGCAGTTCAAGTCCTGGACCTGGCAGATGCTTGCGCTCTCTCTCTCTCTCTCTCTCTCTCTCTCTCTCTGTCTCTCGTGCACGTGCGTGTGAGAGCATGTGCCCTACAGCAAAATTTAAAAAGAAAAAATAATTATTTAAAAAATAAAAAGAGGGGCCGGCCAGTGGCACAGTAGTTAAGGCATTGGACTCCTACATGGCTGACCATTGTTTGAATCCTAGACCTGGTGGCTTGCTCACTATTTACCTTCTCTTTCTGTGTCTCCTTCTGGTTAAATTAAAAAATAAAAATAAATAAAATTAAACACGTAATTTTTTAAAAAAAGAAAATGCTACCTTTTCCTTTAGTAGAGGATATTAAAATTTACAAGTTACTATATGAATTATATGAGATAAAATTTTAACTTCATTATTTCTTCTAGGCTAAAAGCAGTGTCTGTGCAATTAGCAACAGTATTCATCTTTTTCTCAGTTGCTTTCCCACCTTACTGTTGAAACATCATTTCACGCCTATTGTATTATTTACCTAGAACTGTCATTATTATGGTAAGTTAATACTATAAAAATCAATACTTTAGATTGTCTATTTATCTGTGATTTAAAAAGAAAAGTTTGAAAAGGTCCAGCCACTGTGGCACAGGTGGTAGGCTGCCACTGTATGACAGTAGAACCATATGGAAAGGCCTGGGTTAGGATCCCAGGCAAACCTGAACACGCTGGATAGGTCCACGGCACGCTTGTGATCCTGGCTGACTGAAAGACTCCAGGATACAGCAGCACAGTTAAACCCCATTGAGGCTACTTGTCTCTCTTCCTCTCAAGAAAGAGAAAAACCTTGGGACCAGCAGATGGCATAATGGTTATGTGGTTGGACTCCCATGTAGTTGACCAGGGTTCAAGTCTCAGACCGGGCAGCTTAAAATTCACATCAGGCACATGTGCATGCATGCCCAAAATCTCAAGAAGAGAATGGAGGAGAAGAAATTGCAGCATGGCCATCCCCACTTGGGGGGTGATTTCTCACTTCCTGTCTCTCTGTTTCTCCAGCAAGCACACACACTCTCTAGCAAAAATCTTTTTTAAAAGAAAGGAGAAAAAAAATTCCCAAATTTTCTAATTTAGCCAATATTACAAAAATGAATTTAAAGCACTAGTAATCATAAATGCTGGCTATCCAATCAGAATTCAAATGTTATTTACATGATATGAACCTGTGACCTTGATATTTTGTTCTAGAATTAAAGAATTTAAACAAGTACTGTATAATGATTTTGTGCAACATAAAATTGGTTTTACTCCAAATAAAATAAGCACACAAACAGTAGCATTCCCAGTCTAATGATGAGTGGTGAACCTACTGACTAAAATTCATTCTAATATTTTAACTTCACTGGAAATTTTGTAGGCTATCCATGTGCATGGACATCCTCAATTTACACCTCATCACAAAAGTTCACTTTTTTCACATAGGCTTAAGCTTAATGACATACACAAATAGTTGTAGTGATTTTTAGAATGAGCAATAATGGTAAAAAGAATATAAGATGCAAAAGGGAATTTCAGGGCCTTAGAAATGCTCGGGCCTTCTTTTCCTCATCTTCTAACTCAGTTTCCTTTCCTAACTCCAGGGCACCCAGAAGGTAAGGTCCACCCAAGATGATGTGGAGCCCTTCTTATGCATCCTCCTCCCAGCCACCATCCTGCTCTTCCTGGCCTTTCTGCTGCTGTTCCTGCACCGCCGCTGCAAATCTCCACAGCCCCAAGGGCAGGTGTTCAGCATCGACCTCCCGGAGCACCCAGCTGCAGGAGACATGACTGACTTCCTGCCTGGCTTACTACGGAGCAGTGAGCAGAACGTGCCCTACTCACCACTGCCCCGGGAGGGGGCCCTCCTCTCTGTGTGCTCACCACCCTCCTACGAAGAGGCCACCAGGAATCCTCCCGGGGAAGAGACCCTGAGTCGTGTCCTTTGGCAGGAAGCGGGGTCAACTGGACTGGAGAAGCAAAAATAATCTGCTTTTGGAAACCATTTACAACAGAGCTTTCAGTGCCAGGTGGTGGCGCAGCTGGATCTGTCCAGGAATGGTCCTGGGTTCACATCCCAGGACATCCCTGAGAGCGTGAAGCACATACATGTGCCCATGATCCAGGCTGGCAAAGACTAGAGGTAGATCATAGTGTGAAAATCTTTTCAGGGGTACCTTTCTCTCTTTAAGAAATAAACTTAAAAAAATATTTAAAGCACAGTTCTTGGCCTTTGTTAGAAGACCCAGGAGACAGGAGAGAGGGGACATCTATACCCAGGGACCCTGCTTTAGGCTGGGAGAAAAGCTTGACAATGGTTAATCTAGTTAACCTATTAAGTTCATTGGGAAAAATTTCCATAGGTTCTTTTAAAGATGACAGGGCTTTCCCAGAAGGTATAGCACCCCTGGGGGGGGGGACAGGAAAGTTCTATGTGAGTTAGAGGGGAAAAAATATTCAGATTACTAGTGAGCCAGCTCTGAAGGGTACAAATAATAATAATAATAAATAATTTTTTTTAAATGCTAGACCAGCTAAAGGTAACTGCTTTACCCACCAAATGAAACTTTCCTTCCTATGCCAGTTTTTCACAGTCTCATAGTTTCACATCTGTAAATGCCTCAAAATCCATAGAGTATTCTAGCATTAAAAGATATCCCTAGAGTGGCAGTAGTCCACTGCTGTGTCATAAATAATGGTGAATGTGTTACAGTATCAAGAAGGAAAGTACCAATATTTACAAACATTTTAATTAAAAAAATAAAGAATATGAATGCTCTTTAAAATGATCTCTTTTGTAAATACCACTGTTGCAGAAAACCAGATGCTGAAGAATGAAAAGCAGCATTTGGGAGAGAAAGGAGAACGCTTAAGGCAGCAGGCATGGGGGAGTTAATACTCTGAATCTCTGGCCCTGCTGAGTGTTAGACAGTCTTTTATGGGTGAATCGGGGAGGGGCAGTTTCAGCATGCTTGGAGTGTCCTATCAGGGAAGGAGCTCAGTGTCCACTCGAATACAGAACTGGCAGAGAAGCAGGGAATTCATCCTGCTCAAGGCCTCTGGCCGCTCAACAGTTCAGGGAAGGGGCAGCTAGCTTGCAGGGAACAGAAAGCCCAGGTAGCCATCAGCCCTGGGTTGCTTCAAGGTTGCTCATAAGTTCCGGGTTGCTCCACATCACCGCTTTGCTTATTTGTTTTCCAAGTTCTTTCCTAAGGGAAGAAAAGCTTTGGCTTAGTGATGTGGGAGTGTCTCATGCTAGTACACGGTGGGGTATCCAACACTGCGGCAGAAAGGAGAGTCGCTGCTGTAACGCGTGAGCTTGGAGTATACCCCGATCTCTCATTACCTCGTTATACAGCATTATCCTACAGTGCTGTCACACCGGGACTGTGTTTGTAGCTTTCACAAAGCTGGAGTGACACTAGAGGTCACTTTACCATCAGAAAGGTACAATTTTGGGTCACATGGTAAAGAGAAATGAGTTAGCTCTACTGGGGACTTTATAAACCACATACCTCAAACTCTTACTTTACAGCCATCAAAGCTAGAGCTCAGAGAGGTTCAGTGACTTGTCCAATGTTACATAAGCCATAAAAGAGCCAAGACCAGAAGCCTGGAAGACACGAAGGTGGAATTTCGGCCCACGCTCCTGATGCGGGTGAAAGTTCTCAGCAGGATAAAGAGTTAAAGTTGGGATTGATACAAATCTCCCTCAGTGATCTTCCCATGGGGAGGTAAAGAGGGGTATTTGGGGGAGGGATATGAGAACATTCATGCACATGACAGGGAGGGGTCAGAGGTGGGGGGGTGACATATTTAGTTCTTAAACTTTTATCCAGTGCTATAATTTTTTTTGAGAGGTTTTTGCTATAGGGTGCATACACTCACCAGAAAGAGAGAGACAGAAAGACAGAAAGCGAGAAATCACCCCCCAGGGGGGTTGGCCATGCCGCAATCCCTTCTCCTCCATTCTCCTCTCGGGATCTTGGGCATGCACGCACATGCGCCCAGCATGAGTTTAATCCACTGGGTCCGGGACTTGAACCACAGTCGACTACATGGGAGTTCAATGACACAGCCATTATGCTAACTGATGGCCCCACTATAATTTTTTTAAAATAATTTTTGTAACTTTCACAGGGCAAAACTAGACAACGATGGTTCAAACTGAACAAAAATGGTGGCCTTTTACAATCACTTTTGGCATATCTCATGTTTGAGATGAAATGCATTAAAGTTCAAAAAAACAAAGTAGACAAATTTAGGGCTCATTTATTTTAAATGTAATCTGATAGAAACAGTAGTTTTGCCTCTGAGAACTAAAGGAAAATATAACCTATTTAGGTGAAAATCAATACTATTTCTTTTAGGGAAATTGTACTGAACAATTTTCTAATGTTCTTTAGAGGAAATAAACATATGGAAATGAGCTCAGCATGCAGCCTTTTTCAGTTTTTGCCTTTTTGTTGTTGTTGTCAGAGGTGTATGCATTTGCTGGAGAAAGAAAGAGATGCCACCACCCCCCATTGGGCACAGTCACACCACAATCCCTCCTTCTCCATTTCTCCATTTTGTCGGGCTTTGGACACACACACCTGGCATGTTCCTCAAGCCACCAGAGACCAGGATTCGAACTGCAGTCAGTCATATGAGACCCCACTCTCTATGTACAAGGCCCAACCCACTGCACCAGGGGACTCGGCTGGATTTCATTCTTTCCTAGTTCTGATAATCTAGTTCTGTGTAAGACTCTCAATTCTTTTCCAGTTGCCATTCCTGCGAGAACCCTGAAACTATTTGCTTAAGCAATCTGGACCCTTCCAAACACCAGATGGGGAATCATGACAGTTAATCATGGTGATTTTTTTAAAAAGTCTTGCTATAGAATACTTGCATTCATCAGAGAGAGAAGGAAAATAAGGAATCACACCCCTGCCCCAAACTCCAGGGGTCTGGCCAAGCCTCAATCCCTTCCCCATTCTCCTCTCAGGATTTTGGGCACCCCACACACAAGCCTGGTGTGTTTCTCAAGCCTCCAGGTCTAGGATTCAAATGGTACAGTTGGCTACGTGAGATCCAGCCACTTTAACCTCCTGCAATCTCCTGGCCCAATCACGGTGATCTTACTTCCCTCCTGGCAACTGATTTGGCCTTAGGTACATAAGGGGAGATGTACAAGGGAGGAGGATTTTATTCTAGAAAAAGTTTGTCTCACTATTAAAAATAAACACGTGGACAGAAGCACTCTTACTCTTTGCTAGATATTGCATGTTTGCATGTGATGCCCGGGGCTGCTACAACCCTCTTGCAACCATGAGGCAAGACATCAATCAGACCAGAAATGAGAATAGGAGTGTAGGAAGATAGAAAACACCTGGGTTGATGACATTATCGAGCTGCTGAATCAATTCTCTATTTTAATGGCAGAATACCTTTCATACTTCTAAATTTTTTATTATTTTTTAATTTGCTATAAAACCTGTGTACTTGCAAGAGAGAGAAAGTGAGGAGGCAAGCTGCCAAGTCCAGGACTTAAACCAAGGTCAACCATGTGGGAGTCCAGAGCCTTAACCCCCATACCACCAGCTGGTCCCCACCTGCTGGTTCCCCTTTCTTACTGTTTAAAGCCACAAGCCAGTCTTGCTTTGTGTAGACAGAAGCATTCCATACTGCTGTAATTTTGAAGGCTACTAAGGAAATGTATTTGCCATGTTTTAAAATGTGCTGATAAGACTTTTTAAAATTAAGTACTCAATTCTAAGAGTCATTTACACTGTTACCAATCATCTGGGAAAAGAAACGCTTTATCTTATGAAACCAAACTGAAGCAGTGAAACAGGTAGACTGTAAACCAGGGGTTGCCAAACTAGGCCAAATCCCATCCGCAACCTGTTTTTGTACATCCAGAAAGACAAAAACAATTTTCATTTTAAAATAGTTGAAAAAAAAATGGAATATTTTATGACACTTGAAAATGATATAAATTCGAATGTCAGCGTATGGAAATCTCATTGGAAAACAGTCCTGCCCATTTGCCTATAGCTGCTTTCATGCTACATGGTCAGGCCTAATAGTTGCAATGAAGACCGTATGAGCTTCCAAGCCTGAAGCACTGCCTGGTTCCCCACAGAAACAGTCTGCTGGCCTTTCCTATAGACCAGTGGGTTGCAACCCCAATTACACAGTAGAAGCACTGGGGAACTTTTAGAACTACAGATAATAGGGCCCACCCAGAGCAATCAAATAGAAACAGAGTCAGTAATTCAAATAGGAAGCCAAGACAGAAAGCTCTTCGTCTTGGTAATGTGAAAGGGCCACAATGCACAGGTGAGCTTCCGTTTGGACTGATGTAAGGTAACAGGTCTGAAGAACACTAACGCAGTAAATACGGCACTGAGTCATCACCGTAACTCTGTAAACAGATTCCTGACGCCATCTCCCTGATGTGTGACTGCACCAATTCAGTTAACGAAGCGGGATTTGCAGGCAGGATGTGAGGAACTAGAGTACAAACCGTACATCCTCATTGAAAATGCTGACCTAACTGGCACACGCGGGTAGTACTGGTTGTTAGCCCTCCAAGATAGAATGGAGTTGAAGAAAGGCCACAAAGAATTAAACTGTTAACAGTTAAGTCACTCTAGCCAGAAAAGATGAAAAATGGGAGGGCATATAACATAAACCAGTAAATATCACATGGGCATTTTCACTACATTCTACGGCAGGCCACAAAGTAGCCTTAAATCAACATTCTATAAAAAGAGAAATGAGTCAGCCTTCTGCTCCAGCATGTGAGGAGCTAGAAAGTCATCCCAACAATAACGAGCTGAACAAACAGACATCAACAACCCTGTTTAGAGCCAGTAGGAAACCGAAGTCACAGGACAAATCTCTGGCTCGGAAGTTGGAGACAGGTGGTTACAGAGAACCACCACTTACCTAGGCAGACACCTTAAGGAGCCAAGGCTCGGCTCGGGCTTGGTGTGGA